ACGATGTTGTTGTTGATGATGTTGTTGTTGATGATGTTGTTGTTGATGATGTTGTTGTTGACGATGTTGTTGTTGACGATGTTGTTGTTGATGATGTTGTTGTTGATGATGTTGTTGTTGATGATGTTGTTGTTGATGATGTTGTTGTTGACGATGTTGTTGTTGATGATGTTGTTGTTGATGATGTTGTTGTTGATGATGTTGTTGTTGACGATGTTGTTGTTGATGATGTTGTTGTTGATGATGTTGTTGTTGATGATGTTGTTGTTGATGATGTTGTTGTTGATGATGTTGTTGTTAACCATGTTGATAAAGTATATGTGATAACAATATTAATGCTGACGAACGCGATGGTGAAATGAAACCACAACCTACCTGAAACATGCTCTTTAACTTTAAAAGGCACCTCTTCAAGTCCTTCTCTGAGCAGTTCAACAAATTCTCTTCAATAAATAACAATGATATTAATTATTTCATTGGTCATACATAATATTCTTCCATATCATTCATCCCAATTATTCATCCATCATTCGTTCGTTTATCTTAGTTAAATCGTCCGTTTGTTCGTTCATTCATTTATTCATTCATACATTCATTCATTCATTCATTCATCTCTCCATTCATTCATTTATATGGCGCTGAATTTTTGAGCTGGAATGAAACGACAGCATTCATAAGACGGTGGAATGAACGTGTTGGCAGAGAAATATTTTTGATGGCGGTGGTATAAAAAAAGTTTATGAAAATTTTTATAATAATAATAATAATAAAAATAATAATAATGTTAAAGATTTATCTGGATAGTAGTAATAACAATGAATGAATGAATGGAATTCCTTGTAAAATATTTCCAAGTGAAAGTACAGATCCCTCCAAGCAATGTTTACTACAGTAACTTAATTAACTTCATACTCTATCAGTTACACAGCTGATTTTAATCTTATTACGAATGCATTGAAAGTTCAGAATGAAACAAAGTGCATGCAGCCAAACTGACTGACACATTTCATATGCAAATAAGAGGGAGAGGGCTTATAACCTATTAAAAAATTTTTACAGGTAACTGTGAGCACCAATTTCATCGTCGTCGTCATCACCATCATTGTTATCATCGTCGTCATCATCATTATCATCGTCTTCATCATCACTATCATCATCATTATCATCAAAATCGTGCATCCATTATATTAAACATTTATTTCCCAACACGCGCATGACATGAGGTAAGAAATTGAAATAACGTAAGTTAACCACACACAGCACATTTTTATCTTCTAAGTTTGTTTAGATTTTAAAATATACAATCCATGAATATTGGATCATGACTACCCCTACAGAGGTAAGAATTTTTTCCTACAAAAAAGAGCAGGAAGGAGACAAGCCGACATGCGCATGCAAGTTATGTCTAATTGACACGACAACAAATTAATAAATGAACGATAAACAAAATATGGATGGACGTGGTATGAACAAGCAAGCTAACCAATGCAGGCTTGCACACGCACGCACAACTGGGTCCTCAGAACCAAGACATTTCTTTTGCTGTGAAATTGAAAGTTTCAAGAGTGAATTCAACAACAGCAGCAGCAGCAACAACAACAACAACAACAACAAAGACTAAATGAACCATAGTGACGACAAAAAAATAAATAAAACAACTACATGTGAACTTTCATAATGCGAAAAATAGTACGAGGAGTATACAAATATTGAAAACATTATCAACAACATCCACAACATCAACAACAACAACATCCCAACAACATCCACAACAACAACAAATGCAAACTGATTGATGAGTTCATCGAGTTCATCTTGTTGATCCTGCAGTGTGGACTCAAGGTCAAGGTAGCAGCAGTACTCACCCTGTTGACCGTCAAGATGCTTGTACAGTTGCAGGGCACAATCTTCCAGCTTTTATAATTATCATCAATTATCATAAATTATGATAGATAATCACTTTTGTGTATCAATTGTTTCACCACGGTTATAACTATGATATCAATAGCATAGAAACAAAAACATGATATCACTATAGTAGACATTACTATCAGTAATAATGATAAATGATGATGAGAATGTGACTTCAACGCCAGAGGTCGGCGGCAGTCATGGGTGAACGACGGATTGAATGATGTCAGTGGAATAAAAGTGGGATGATGAGAGTCATCAACTGACGATCTCATCATTATCATCATCGTCATCATCTTCATCATCATTTTCATTATAATCATCGAAATTATCATTATCGCTACAAACGCTATCAACATCATTGTTACCACCATCTACATCTTCTTATGACAAACACTAATAAATAAATAAATATCTCAAGAAATTCTTGACAAAATATTTCCTTCTTAATTATCAACAGGACACAAATAATGTTAATAATAACAACAATAATATTAATAAAAAAAACAACAATAATAATAATAATTTGCTAAAAATAACGAGTGAGAAAACAGAGCGAAAGCAATTAAACAGACCTTCACTAGCAAAAAGAACTGCACTTTATTTAACACAAAACTCAAAAGAAGTAGCGAACACATGGTTTGTTTTGCTAGTAATGACTGTTTCAATCATCTACCCACTAAAAGTCAAAACAAAACACTTTCTCCGTACCGGCCTCCCTTCCCTTTCTCCCTCCCTCTCTCTCTCTCTCTCTCTCTCTCTCTCTCTCTCTCTCTCTCTCATTCTCTCTCTCTCACTCTCCCTTTTTTTCCCTCTGTGTAGTGAGCATGCTGACAGCTGATTAAATAAAAAATTACAATAAAAAATGAAATTTTCTCCCAACACTTGTCAGCTTTTCAAACTTCCCATTCACCTACTCCACCTCAATATTCATCAGTGAAGAATATTAAAAAAGTAATTTGAAAAAATTCACAGATAAAAAATTAATTAACTGAAAAATATACTCTTTTATAAGTAAATAACAAAAAATTAAAAAATTATTAACTAAGTTTTTTTTATTTGTATTTGATGATCTGTATGAAATTATAAAAATACTCAGATAATAGGTAATAATTGCCTTGGTACTCAAGATGCAAGCCCAAACAATTATGTGAACAAGATGAATGAATGAATGATGAACATTTCAATTAATTGCTGGGACCTTTGTGTGCCCATCAAAGAAACTGAACTGCAGCATACCATTAATTAACATCGCACACACACACACACACACACCACACACACACATACACACACACACATACATATATATATATATATATATATTTGTGTGTAACTTAGTGCGTGTGTGCATACTGGATGTGCATCCGTGCATTGTTGCAATGAAAGAATACACGCAATGAAATACATACCTACAAAACCTGTGCTTGGCGTTATATTATGTTTTCAACAGCACGCAAATATGTTGTGGTTGTTGTTGTTGCTGCTGCTGCGTGTTCTTTGTTGGCGCGGGTGCCTCGCTAACATGAGCAGCCAACAATGCAGTAAAATGTCTTAAGACATTACCAAATAATTCGAATTTGTTTTTCAGACAGAAACGTAGACATCACTGCAAAGAAATTTCAATTTAACAAACACTGACCAAATTTTCTCACCAAACAAACAAACGAACAAACGAAAAAAGAACGAACAAACGAACGAACAAGCAAACAAATAAACAACCAAACGAATGAACAAACAAATAAAAACAAACAATTAAGCATGAATAAATTTCTCACCAGATTACATGTACATGTAATAATACTGTTCTAAGAATAGATGTGTGACGTGAATCATTAAATCATTTAGATCACTTAGGACAAGCCAATTTTAAATTCATTGCAGCCACAACAATAGAGGCACACACACGCACTCACACACACACACACGCTACTTACACATGCAACAGACACACACACACATACACACACAAACACACACAAACATATAAAGAATTCTTATTAGCTCATCAATGACAAACATGTGAAAACCTGAGTTATTTATTGCAAGTATTTTAATAATATAAGCAGGAGACATGTTTTTATTTGTTTTGTTCAATAATAATAATAATAATAAAATAATAATAATATAATTATCATTATTGTTATTATTATTATTTAATTATTATTTAATTAATATTATTATTGTAACTACTATGTGATTGTAGTAATTTAATATCACATATAAATATATATATTTTATTTTATTTAATATATATATATATATATATATATATATATATATATACAAACAAACAAAACACACGCGCACACACACATAAAAAACAAGAAACACGCACACATACACAAAGAAACACACGCACAGACACAATACAATAACATGTGTATTGTAGAATGCCTGCCAAGTATGTAGACAGTTTAAATATCAAATTATAGGTATCAGGTTGCTGATGTATAAAAATAATTTAATTGAGAGAAAGCCTGCCTCTTTTAGAGTTTTTAATGATTTGATGCATTAAGAAAGTGGGTTAGTTTATCAACTGTTAATGTTGCTGGATGGCTTGAATGTGTGCCAGTATGTGTGTGTGTGTGCGCGCGCGCGTGTGTATAAAAAAAGAGAGAGTGAGAGAGAGAGAGAGAGAGAGAAAGAGAGAGAGAGAGAGATTGAAGATGGTGATGAGTGACATATTTAAATTTACATTTAAATAAGAAGACATGGATGTATGTTTTAATTTTATGATACTCAATGATGTGTATTTATTTATTTGTGAATTTTTTCAAATGTTAAGCAGCTGCACTCAAAAGTGCACTCCTCACTTAATTGAAGAAACAGCCACCTGAGTTGAAGTGAAAAAGTGAACTAATTCAGGGAAGCACTTAAGCACGCAATCAATGCTAGGCCATCACTGCAAACGAACTTAAAGTTCAAAATTTCAAATTCAGCAATCAAATGTTTTAACTCTTATCATATCTTGCTTACCTTTCTGCTGCTGCTGCACTAAAAAAATATTGATAACACGATGATTATGACTATAAATTGTCATGATGATGATGAATTATGACTATGAATTGTCATGATGATGATGAATTATGACTATGAATTGTCATGATGATGATGATGATGATTGGCATTTGACAACAGAATAAATGACAGACTGTTTTCTGAGTAATTAAAAATCCAGTGACATATTTAACTGCAGTTAAACATACACACATACAGCATTAATACCATGTGCAAACAAATTTATCTGGTCTAATGCTAATCTAATATTATTCTAATACATTTATAAATCAAAAATATTAAGCCTTGGGCTATCTTACAGCAGATGCAGAGATAATAATTATGGACTAAATTAATATTGACACAAATTCTCACTACTATAAAATCAAATATTTCACATGAGTACTTTAATAACACCATGCTCATGTAGGTGTAGAGAAAACCTTTGAATGGTAGTTTATAAAATAAAAAATTAGAATTTTCTTTTAATTTTTATAAGCACAATAAATGAAAAAAAAATCACATACATGTAGCAATGATTTAAATTTTTAAAATGTAGCTAACCAACAAACCAGCTAACCACTAGAGTAGAGAGTAGACTAACCAACCAGTCAACCAACAAACCAGTCAACCAACTAACCAAACAAACAAAAACTAATTTTAAATCAGCCAACCATTCAACTAACTTTATGTGGAGCCTGCAGAAGTTTCTTGACATCATTAATTTGATTTTGCAGTGGTATGTTCAACCAGAATGTTATGGGTACAGGTCGTGTTGGCTCAAGAAAGTTTTGAGAATTATTAAATGGGTCCAAATCATTCAAATATTGAACACGAACGACAATTTTTAAATCATCTTTCATATTTTTTTTTGAAAAATTAAAGTGAATTCTACTAAGAAAAAAGAAAGAAATAATAATATAATTTTATTTCAAACTAACAAAAAAATATATAAAATTGAAATATAGACTGGAATAATTTTAAAAAACAACCAAATCAAAAATTCTCTTAAAATAAAATTAACCAATTATTATTAAATTATTTTTAAACAATTAATAAATTGGCAATAAATTAGACTGGCACTTTCTCAAAGCAATTAGAAATCTCAACGTTGAGGTTTACTTTTACATTTATACCTACCTTTAGGGATGGGCAAAACCAATCAACCAATCATTAGCCAGTCATTTCAAGTTCAAATAAGGTTATTGCTAAAATGAAATATGTTTTTTAATATTTTTTTCAAATATTTTGTAAAATAAAAAAACTTTTATCTGAAACAATTTATTGAATAATTTTTGGTCTACCTGCACCAAGGGGAGGCCTATTTACCAGCATACAACACCTTCTTATGGGTTGAAGCAGGGATATGCAAAGAACCTCAATTTTTTCAACTTTTAATTATTTTCAGTAATGTCTTCCCCTGCTCCAAACCACATAACTAGAATAATAGGACTAATCGATCAATTCGATCTATCGGTCGGGCTATTTGTCGTGCTTGGATTGTTGCCTTACGAAATTGCATGGATTTTAACGAGCAAGCTAAATGAAATATTTACTTGATTTAATATGCTTAAAACATTGTAGTAATTTTATTTAATTTTAATAATGATTAATAGAATTATGTATTATTAAATTATTTTTGTTAATTTGAATATAAAAATTGCTTTTGGTCTGGTGAAATCCGGTGGCTTACTGAAGCCGAAGGTTGGCTTAGTAGGATTGAACTATAGTCACCCTTTTTTTACACTATTCGATCGTTAAAAATTGGTTTGCTTATGAAATAAACGGCCTAAATAAATCAAAATTGTTATTTGAACAACTATCTTCATTATATTCAATGAATATCTTACATTCTGCTGGTGCTCATAAGAAACTGGCTGCTGAAATCATACGTTGGCTTACAGCAGTGGCTTACAGGGTTTCATAGAACTCTTACGATAGCACTTTTTGTACATATAATGCTTTAAATAAATCAATATATTCATATCACAATTATTTTTGTCAGTATAAATATAGAAATTGCTTTTGTCAGGTGAAAAACAGTGGCTTACTGAAGCCGTAGGTTGGCTTAATCGGATTTTTTCTCATGTATACAATACTATGAGATAAATCAATCAAACAATCAAACAATCAGTCAGTCGGTCGGTCGGTCAGTCAGTCAGTCAGCTAGCCAGCCAGCCAGCCAGCCAGCCAGTCAGTCAGTCAGTCAGTCAGTCAGTCAACCAATCAATCAATCAACTAAATTGAATGAACCAAATAAACAAAAATAAAAACAAAAATAAATAAAAAAATTTGCAAGGCCTGTTCAAACTCGAACAAACAGTTAACCGTACAGATTTACAAACAATTTCGAGATTTTAGTAAAGAAAGAAAAACACAGTAGTTGCTTTTATTTGAATTCATTCAAAAATGAAAAGTGACGGTTAATTAAAAGTTTAAAATGTCAATTTTTTTAAAAATTCGTATTTTAAATAAACAAATATAACAAAATATCCACCGATAAAAATAATTATTATCCATTATTATTATTATCATACACACTCCTTAGAAGTTCTCGAAGGATAATAAACCACGTAACATGAACATTTAGTAAGAACAGTTCATAACATATCATAATGACTAAATCAACATACTAAACAGAAATAATTTATACATGCATATACAAAGTAAATCAAGAAATATCCAAAAATTATATAACCAATTTAAAAAAAACTAGAAACCAGTCAACATTTAATGAATAAATAAATAGACATTATTAAAAAGATTGTTCAAAAAGGTACAATTTAAGGCGACGACGAGAATGAAATGTAGTTTGTTTTGTTGGTGTGGTGTTGTGAAGCGAAAACAAACACATCACACAAAACTAGTAAGAAGTCGCAAGAATAATAGTCAGTCACCTACCTATGATAAAATTACTCTCAGGGCCCTAGCTTACTTATAAACATTGACTCACTTACCTACAAATTTGTATTTCTCGTTTTAGATGTTTCAAGTATTTTATTTAACATATTTTAGCGTTTTTATTTTACTTGAAGCTTGTTAACTAATGTTTAGCCTTAGCCTACCTACAATTGTTTAACTCATCTCAGTCCCTAACTTACCTATGAATTAAATTAAAGTCCGGTTCACGGTAAAGAAAATAGAAAGTTGAAGAGAAACATAACAACAACGACACCGAATGAATGGACGTTGCGTATGTATGTGTTGTATTGATGTGTGTGTGTATGTAAATGTGCGGGCGAGCACTCTCCAGAAACTTCACTCACTACCGACAAACCTCCATTGCACCGACCATCATCTGACACGCATCGATGGAATGAATTTGACCGGATACTGAAAAATAAATTGAAAAAAAAATTCACTAAAATAAAAAACAAGCAATTGGAAAAAATAGGCAACTTATCTTTTTGAGATAACACTCAATCTTTGTTCAAATTCGAGTACTTTCAAAGGTACAATGAGACAAAAACAAATTTACCTTTAACATTATCTTCGATTTTTCATCGGAACGATCATCATGAGACCACCATCTGAAACGTGCTGACGCCCACCACAGCCCACCTCTCATCATTCTGTAGACAAGTTTTTATTAATTAGCGAAGTAGTAAATCAAGAAACAAAGGAAAGAACGAATAAATGATTAACTGAATGATTGAACGATTGGTTGAATGAATAAATTATCTAATTAATTAATCAACCAATGATTTAATGAATGAATAGAATGAATCAATGAATAAATTAAGTGAGGAATAATTTGACAGATAGTGATAAAATGAATGAATGAATGAGAAAAATAAAAAAAAGAAACTAAATCATACTTCAAAAACCGTCGTTGCTGTTATCTTCGAATTGTCATCGGAACGATCATCATGAGACCTCCATCTGAAACGTGCTGATGCCCACCACAGCCCACCTCTTATCATTCTGTAGACATTTTTTTAATAGCGTATTAGTAAATCAAGGAACAAAGGAACGATCGAATAATTGATTAACTGAATGATTGAATAATTGGTTGAATGAATGAGTGAATGAATTAATTAATAAATCAATGATTCAATTAATGAATAGAATGAATTAGCGAATCAATTAATAGAAGAATAATTTAAAAGGTTGAGTGATAAAATGAACGAATGAGAAAAATAAAAAACGAAACTAAACCTTACTTCAAAAATCGTCGTTACTGTACTTTCCACAAAATACCATCCGTACTTCAGAGTGTCAGTCGAACAGCCAACGAGCTGATTCTTCCTACACCACCATCATCATATGTAAATCATCATGAGACCACCATTTAAAACGTGCTGACTCCCACCACTGCCCACCTCTCATCATTCTGTAAACAAAATTTTTTTATTTGCGTAGTAGTAAATGAATGTTACAATCTTAGAAGCAAAAAAATTAAATTATAAAATGAAAATAATGTCAAATTAATAAAATTTTAAAATAATAAAGTAAGTAAAATGTAAAAAAACTTACCGTCGTCCATTCGACAAAGGCAGAATGTTGAATGCGGTCCGGTTCCTACGTTGTCCTCCAAAACTGGTGCCAGTCCTCCGAGATTGTTGTTGAAACACAGCCCGTGTTGATGGAGAAAGATAGAGAAAGAGTAGATTCTCATCAGAAAGCTTAGCGGTGCCTGCATCTCAAATTGCTTAATAAAAATAATCCTATCTACCTATTCAATTACCTTAACTAATTTATATTAAATTGTTAATGGTACGATAGTCGAAAGTCCCCCTTCATTCTTCATCCTTGCACAGAGGTTCACCGACAGTCAGGGCACCGGATAGAAAACCATTGCCGTGCGGATAGTAGACTATTGCCGTGCGGATAGTAAACCATTTGCCGTCCGGAAGCCGTGCGGGTAGTAGACTATGGCCGTGCCGCATGGTAAATCATTACCGTGCAGATAGTAAACCATTGCCGTCCGGATAGTAAACCATTGCCGGTACACCACTGGCCACCAAGGCTTACCTCTGACAACAGATTTCGAAATTCAGAGTCTATCGGCTATCGTACCCTCAACTTACCTATTCATTACAATTAAGCCCTAGCTTACCTAAAATTGAAAAACTCAAGAGCCCAATTCATTGGCCAATCGGCACCCACCCCACCACCTACGTAATGCCTTGGGCTCCAACCTAATAATAATAATATAAAACTTAAACCCTAAATCTATTAATGAGTGTGTGTTACAACGTAGCCTTAACCTACCTATTCATTACATTATGGCCCTAGCTTACCTAAAATTACACAACTCAAGAGCCCAATTCATTGGCCTTTCGGCACCCACCCCAACACCTACTTAATGCCTTGGGCTCCAACCTAATAATAATAATGTAAAACCTAATAACTAACTTACCTCTCGATACACTTACAGCGATTATTTAATTTAAATTACAAGATTGTTCCTAGAATTAAATTATTGCTTTTAACTACCTATGAAATTAAATTACTCTCAACCTTAGTAATAATAAATTAAAATGTGTAATGAAAATAAAATAACGCTCAAATACTAATATGTGTTTATGTATGTATTTGTGTGTGTGTGTATAATACGCTGATGCGTGTCATGTGGGTGCGAGAAAAAATAGAAGAGATAAACTTACACTGCCTACCTATTCAACTACATTAGTGTTGGATGCTTCCTATCTATCCTACCTACAATTAAAATTATGCCTATCTAACCTACCTATATAGCTACTTAATGTAACTGTGTGTATGTGCGTGTGCGTGTGAGCATTCTTACTTAATGTTAAATTACAGAGAAAAACAGAGAAAAAAGAATAAAACGTATCCCAGCCAGGCGTATCTTCTTTGCCACTGAATGAACGAACGTAGCCTGACATCTTCCACGATGAATTCCTTTGGAAGCTTCAACCTGAATAAAATGGATGAAATGGAAAAATCTTATTTATTTGATTAATATAAATGAAAATAGAAAAACGAGCAGTGGTGAATTCTGCCAGAAAAGCCAGCCAACTGGCAAAAAAAAGAACCGCAAAGAAACCGTAAAACGTACCCCAGCAGGGCGTGCATTCTTTGCCACCGAATGAACGAACATAGCGTGACATCACAACCATTCTGATCGTCCACGATGAACTCCTCTGGAAGCTCCAACCTGGATAAATGAACCTGAAAAATCTAAATGAATGGTAAAATCTTATTTATTCAATTTAAATGAAAATAACCGCAAAGAAACCGACCGGTCGGCAAAGAAAAGAGAAAAGAAGAGCAAATAAAGGTATCTATATAACTCTATATAACTCTATATAACTCTATATAACTCTATATAACTCTATATAACTCTATATAACTCTATATAACTCTATATAACTCTATATAACTCTATATAACTCTATATAACTCTATATAACTCTATATAACTCTATATAACTCTATATAACTCTATATAACTCTATATAACTCTATATAACTCTATATAACTCTATATAACTCTATATAACTCTATATAACTCTATATAACTCTATATAACTCTATATAACTCTATATAACTCTATATAACTCTATATAACTCTATATAACTCTATATAACTCTATATAACTCTATATAACTCTATATAACTCTATATAACTCTATATAACTCTATATAACTCTATATAACTCTATATAACTCTATATAACTCTATATAACTCTATATAACTCTATATAACTCTATATAACTCTATATAACTCTATATAACTCTATATAACTCTATATAACTCTATATAACTCTATATAACCATGCATACTACCACATTCAATCAATAAAAATCCCACTAAAACCAGGAACCACCGCGTACCTGCTGAATGTATGTTGTGAAACAAAACAAAAACAAAACACAAAACAAAAATCACACCACCAAGTAGAGTAAAAGAATAGAAGTCCCTAACCTACCTATGTAACTAAATTACCTTATGCCCTAGCCTACCTATATAATAGATTAATTTTTACCTCACCTACCTATGCTTCATTAACTTAACTCAAGACTCATGAAGAAAGAGAAAAAGGAGTAAAACAGAACATAAAATACTACCACACAAACAAACATGATGTATGTATGTATGTATGAAAAAGGAGTAAAACAGAACATAAAATACTACCACACAAACAAACATGATGTATGTATGTATGTATGTATGAGCAACCGTTAAAGGACAGACCTAAAATTTAAAAAATACCACCTACAAACATTCAAACCACCTACAAACATGCAAACTCTATATAACTCTATATAACACTATATAACTCTATATAACTCTTTATAACCCTATATAATAAAATAAATAAAAAAATTTTAAATATAAAAAAATGAGATCAGGCACTCCGACTCGAGCGAGGCAGAAATGCCTGATCTGATTTCAACGTTTTTTCAGCTCCTATTTATACTCGTTTCAACTATACATTTTCATCATTTCAATCATTCGCATCAATAAAAAACTTATTTAATGTATGTACTACACTATTATACAGTCTTAACCAAAATGCTAACCGTACTAAATTGAAGTCATCGAACGAACGCCTTCGAAACTTTCTGGTTGGCTGGTCGAATCTGCTATATTGCTTTTCATATAAACATATAATCTAATATAATTTAATTTAATTATTTGTATACATGGATTCCAGTCACTTTATATATATATAATAAAAATTCATTATAAAAGCAACAGTAATCAGTACTATATATGTAAGCACACAGTTCAAATTTTTCGGGGAGAATTCAAAATTGTTTGAGACCACACCTTGCTTAACATCCGATTCCAAGCCGAGCCAAGCCAAGCTGAGCCAATATGCATAGATTTAAAAGCGCTTTTATGTTAATATTTTGCTCGCTATATTTATATATTTTATAAATTCATTATAAAAAACAACAGCAGCCATTACTATATATGTACGCACGCAGTTCAAATTTTTCGGGGAGAATTCAAAATAGTTTGAGACCACACCTTGCTTAACATCCGATTCCAAGCCGAGCCAAGCCAAGCTGAGCCAATATGCATAGATTTATAAGCGCTTTTATGTTAATATTTTGCTCGCTATATTTATATATTTTATAAATTCATTATAAAAAAAACAGTAGCCATGACTATATATGTACGCACACAGTTCAAATTTTTCGGGGAGAATTCAAAATAGTTTGAGACCATTTGTTCTAAAATGATATAAAGAATATGGGTGGTAATGCTCTTTATAAAAGTAAGAAGCAATTTTAACGAGTGCACACAAATGGAGTGGTGAATTTGTGACGACGCGCCAAACAAAAATTTAAAAGAATGAAGGGTACGTGCCATGCTCGCGTACAGTCAAACCTTGATGAATTCATGTGGATGCGCAACATAGAAGTTAGAAAAGAGCGGTTCCAAAAACTTATACGACATTATTACGCGGTTTATAATTTTGAAACTTCTTTATTTAAAAAATTAGTCAAAACTTGGAAGCTTGGAACGTTTGAAAAATAGAATAAATAATCATAAAATGGAGAAAAATAGAAAATTTCAAAACGAAGTTTAAATTTTTATATCAAAATATAATCCTATGAAGACTTGATGTTATTTTTTGGCCAGCTTAAGACTAATTTGTCGGCAGACTTCTTGAAAGTTGGCACTGGGTTGGGAGTTGTGGTGTCGATGGTCACTTCTCTGGACTTGTTGCCCAACATGCACATGACGTCACTCGCTATCATGACTCTAAGCTCCTTCTTGTGCAGTCTGAAGTGTTTCATTTATCAACTGTTACAATCAAAACCTCTGTGCTGCGAAACAAAACGCATCATGAAACCACAAAAGTCCCACAAAAGTCCCAAATAAGATTATGATCAAACAGGAAACAGGATTTACAAAAGTTTCTGCACGCCCACCTAAGCCAGAGTCCCAGCATGACTCCGACAAGCTCACCCACGTAGTCCCCACTGTGGTGGTTGGGTGAGACGCAGAAGACAAGGTCGTTGCCCCCCTCCAAATGAATGACCACCAGCTGGTCACTTCCGGGCGATACTGTCAACCCCGTGACCTGGTTTCAATGCAACACCATACAATACAATACATTACAATAAAATACGATGCAATACAAAACAATAGTATACAATAAAATACAATACAGCAAATACAATGCAATACAATACAATGCAATTCAATACAATACATGTACAACACCATACAATACAATACAGTACAGTACAATACAATACAATACAATACAAAACAATACAATACAATACATGAACAACACCATACAATACAAAACAACACCTCTCCTATTGGAATGCCGTCTTTCATTGATTTAAAATTCTTCGAATTTAATTTGAAGATCTTTGTATCCGTTATGCATAGAATGCGCTCAGCTGACTTGCTAAATCGATTGGTCTTAGGAATGCATTTATTATTATTTATTATTTTGAATTAATTTAAAAATATAATTTTTGTTATTTTATTATTATTACGAATTAGAATTTGTTAGCATATTTCATACATTCATTCATACACTCATTCGATCATTCATTCAACCATTCGATCATTCATTCAACCATTCGATCATTCATTCATTCATTCATTCATTCATTCACTCACTCACTCACTCACTCATTCATTCATTCATTCATTCATTCATTCATTCATTCATTCATACCTTGATGACGTAACAAGCAAATAGGACATCATCGAAATGTTCGTGATCTCGTAAAATTTCAAACTGCTGCTTGGCTTCCGGTAGACTGTGATCAGCCTGGTAATGGTGATGATGATGATGTAGTGATTATGATAATGATGATGATGTAATTATGATAATGATGATGGTGTAATTATGATAATGATGATGATGTAATTATGATAATGATGATGGTGTAATTATGATAATGATGATGATGTAATTATGATAATGATGATGGTGTAATTATGATAATGATGATGGTGTAATTATGATACTGATGACGATGATTCGGAAGATGGTGACTACTGGGAGTCGAGTGCTCTTAAAAACATTTTTGTGCTTTCCAAAACAATGTTTTAAATCGAAAAAAATCGTTTTAAATCGAAAATAAAATCAGTCGGTGTGAACTACCACCACCCACATTGAAGATATAATTCCCGATCCACTTCCTCTTAAACCCCCAACCGCCCCTTCTCTTGCCACCAAGTGCGTCTCCGGCATACACCTTCAGTCGCAACGACGGTCTCTCAGACACGGGTATCGGTTTCAGTACCATGTACGAATACCACCTGGACATTTGGGGGTGTGGATAATTTATTCAAATAAATGTTAATTTATTAATTTATTCAAGTATCATCACATAATAATAATAATAACATGTTAAAAATTTTCTGTGTGGATTAATTATTAATTTATCAATTTATTCATATTTCACCATATAGTATGCAATAATAGGTTGAAAATTCTGTGTAGATAATTCAATAATTTATTCAAATATTACCCTATAATAACGATAATAATAATAATAATAATAATGACTTGTTGAAGATTCTCTTCAAAAGATTGATAACGTGATGAGGTAAGTGTTCGGGTGGCCTAGGCCAGACCAGTGACTTGTTAAAATCTTTTTTCTTCTTCGAGTCGCTATTGTAAAATTTGTGAAAAGTTAAACCTACTATCCATGATACAAATTACTATCCACCATACAAATTACTATCTACCATACAAATTACTATCCATGATACAAATTACTATCCACCATACAAATTACTATCTACCATACAAATTACTATCCATGATACAAATTACTATCCACCATACATTACTATCCATAAAATATAATAATTTAATATAAATTATATATATCCTATCCATACAATATAATATAATTAATATATATACTATCCATACAATATAATAATATAATATAAATAATATACATCCTATTCATACAATATATTAATATAATATAAATAATATATAATCTAATTATATCTACAAATACTGACCGAAAGAGGCTAATGAGTGTTTGAAGGTACGATCTCATCTGGTATCTCAAATAGGTCACTCCGATTCTATTGGCTGCCCTCATTTTGCGGACCAATATGCGAGCACTTAGACCCCTCCACATCTGAATAATAATAATAATTATTATTATTATTATTATTCTTATTATAAATACTACTACTGCTACTGCTTCTACTACTACTGCTGCTGCTACAAATACTACTACTACAAGTAATGTGGCTATTGCTGCTACTGCTTCTACTACTACTATTACTACTACTACCATTAAAACTATTACAACCACTGCTTGAGTTATTTAAACCTTTTGGATAAGTACAGAGATACTGGGCAGTATTTGATTCCTTGCATTTTCGAGTGCAAACACTGTCTTCGGCTGTCTGCAAATGTAAAGGTTGCATGAAAATATAAAAAAAAGAGTTTCAGCTAAATCCATTTCCAAAGACATTAAATTAAACTTACATCTGGTTACAGATAGCCAGAAGACGGATTTGGATTTAAAATAAGGGTTTAAAAATTCGCCTTTTAACTATTTTTAAACTCAACGGCCCATTAAGTACACGGCCCATTCGGCCCTCGCCTTTCTCTCCTAACCATAGTTGCTACTATTAAAGTTAATGATGTTTTCACGATCAATTCACAGTGCTATGAGCTGAACAACGCAATGAAATGAGAATGAACTAACAACAAAATAACAGTAACAACAAGATAACGTAATAACTGGTGCCCTTTATCGTTTCAGTACTCGTTTATATAGTAGTTAAGTACTGCTACTTCTTACGCTAATACCATTACACTAATAATTAAAATCTTTTTAAATGATAATTATGCATAATTATATATGTAGAAATTAAATTATAAAATATATAATTATATAAAATTATTATAACAATATCGACCTGATAAATATCTTGGTCTTCCCGTATAGGACATCATCGTCCAGTGATAACTCATTTATAATCAGTTTTGTGGCTTGCGGAAGCTGGCATGATGGGTTCGGCCAGGTTTCTAGCGTTATCATTTTGTACCTGATGAAGATGATATAAGATATAATTGATATATTGATATATAATTGATATATTATTGATATAACAGTGGAGATAAATGACGACGACGACGACATGATGGTCACGAAAAATTGTAGTGATTAGAATTATGGTGACGGCCAGCAAAAAGCAGTGACCAAACGACAAACACAACGAACAAACACACACGCACGCACACACACACGCACGCACACACACACGCACAAATACACACACATACAAAAACACCCACACACAAACACACACACACACACACATACCTTCCAACAAATCTTTGGTAGGGCATACGAAATGCAAACCCGGCCCTACGGACCCTGACATTTTCCAGAAGTCCGAGATACATGACCTGATGCTTTACCCTCTCCTCGTCCAGGTGCACTGGCGATTTGTCATCGTTTGGTTTGATGCAACGCACGTAGTACGGCTCCTTGTTTGTATATGTTTGCTTGTATATAATGCATGTTTTTGTTTGTTTGTTTGTATGTATGTTTATATTTGTTTGTTTGTATGTATGTTTATATTTGTTTGTTTGTTTTGTTTGTTTATATATGTTTTGTTTGTATATGTTTGTATGTGTTTTTGTTTGTTTGTGTACGTTTGTTTTTTGTATACGTTTGCCTGTTTGTATATATTTTTGTTTGTTTGCGTTGGTATGTTTTGTATATATGTATTTTTTGGTACGAGGAGTTGGCATGCCTTGGCCGTACGTACGTCATTCCCGCATTTAAATAAACGTCCAACTTCAACCACCATTCTTTTCATTTCTAAATCATAGGTGACATCACTATAATAATAATAATCATCATCATTATAACCATCATCATCATCATCACCACCACCATCATCATCACCATCATCACCACCACCACAATCATCATCATTATCATCATCACCATCATTATCATCACAATCATCATTACCATATTACCATCATCACAATCATCATCATCACAATCGTCATCATCATCATCACCTTAGATACGAGATGGTCAACCAATGAGATGATAGCATTCTTGAAATTGGTGCCGGCTGTGATTGGTCGCTTGGTGACGCTGGTCACGCTGCTCGAGCCCTCCGGCCACATGCTGCTGATGGACTTGTTCTTGCTGACGTCATAATGGTGATGGTGATGATGGGGATGAAAATAATGATGAAAATGATGATGACGATGGAATCAAAATAATAACACAAAACCACAATAACAACTAAAAACAAACAACCAACTAACCAGCCAGCCAGCCAACCAACCAACCAACCAACCACCTAACCAACCAACCACCTAACCAAACAAACAGGCAGACAGATAGACAGACAGACACAGACCGACAAACGAACAAACAAACCTATTGAAGAGCAGCCTCTTAAAGTCTTGAAAAAGTGTATCTTTATTCTTATCAATGAACCCGTCAACGCTGTATGTGACGTCACCGGCGTAATGACGTATGCGGAAGTCCCGATGAAATTGTAGAGATTTGTCTGACGGTGAGAGCTGTGTTGTGGTTTATGTCGTTGTATTTGCTTTTGTTGTTCGTTTGTTTGATTGTATGTATGTTTGTTTGTATTTATGTTTGTTTGTTTGTATGTTTGTATGTATGTTTGTTTGTTTGTGTGTGTGTGTTTGTGTTGTATTATTTAATAATAATAAAATTTGTTTCATGAATAACTTTTGATTGGAGAAAACGTATTGTAGAAAACTTACAAAACAAGCAAACATCAACAGCACATTATAAAAAAAGAAACATCCAAACAAACATACATACAAACATACAAGCACAAAAAAACACACACTAACACAGACAGACAAGCAAACACACAATCTATAACTACCTTCCTACTGGTGAAATGTTTGTGATTAGCCAGTTTATCACTCATTGAATCTAGAAACATGGCATCCGTTATCTTTCCAACATTCAAGCAGGCCTCATCCAATAGAGACAGAATACCTTATTATTATTATTAATTATTAATAATAATAATATTATTATTATTTTTAATTATTATTATTATTAAACTACCAATGTGTTGTTGTTCAACGAGATCACAAATGATTTTGTTGTCGAAGTAATCCACCTAAGATTTTTTTTTAGAAAATTAAATTTTATATTTTTCGGTGGGTAAGTTTTGTATTTCTACAGATCTATCGTATCGTATCGCAGTATCTATCATTAAGATACTAATTAATAACTTCAGATACTTAATTTTCGAGTAGTATTTTGATTACTTACATGGACCCATGGCACTCCTTCTTCGTTATATTCTCGCTGCTCCTGCTGCAGAACCAGTTCGATGAAGAGTTGTTGCAGTTTCTCGTTGCAGTAGTTGATACAAAACTGCTCGAAACTATCGGGTGTTTGTTTGGTTGGTTGATGAGTATTTACGTGGTCAAACACACAAACGAACAAACAAACGAACGAACGAACAAACGAACGAACCAATCAATCAACTTGTGGTTTATAATTATTCGTATATTTAATAGATTTTCAATATCGACCTGTTTTGATCGAATATCTCGAAACCGTAAATGTCGAGAACACCAATTGTCGTAGTGTTTTTCTTGCTGACTGTCTTCAGGTCGATACACTGGTTGATGCTAGATACTATCCATGAAAACAGCCGGTCGTATATGGCCTGGTTGTTTATTGGTTGGTCAGTTGGTTGGTCAGTTGGTTAATCAGTTGGTTGGTTAGTTGGTTGATTGAATAAGATTTATTTGTCGGTTGATGCGTTAACTAATTATTTTTACAAAAAAAAAAAAACTTCTTTGATTCATTCACACATTATAGAAATTTTACTTTGTCTTCAAATAATTTTACAACAACACATGTGCACGTACAAACACACACACACATACAAACACACCAACACCAACATACAAACACATGCGTGTACACACAAAAACTAACTTTAGCAAAGGCATCTCTTCCATACTTTGCTTCCTCAGCGGAATGTTTCTTCTCGAGGACCTCACCGCGGGCCGCCACCACCCTACCACAGAGAGCCTTCTCTAACTCCCCCTCATCAACTTCTAGAAGTTTCGAGAGAAGGGAAAGGGTAGAGGGGTCAGTTATCATGCACTGGTCAGTTTGTGAAGATTCTTCGAATTTGACGTTGCCCTGTTAATGAATGGATAGATGGATGGATGTATGAATAAATGCATGCTAAACAAACAAATACACATACAAACAAACAAATACATACAGACGAACAAATACATACAAACAAACAAATACATACAAACAAACAAATACATACAAACAAATGCATACATACAGATACACAAACAAACATACAAACAAACATACAAACAAACATACAAAAATGTAGAAACCAACCAACCAGATGCAAAACAGCGGCGAGTACAGACCAGAGGGTCTCGTTCATGTCCGTCAGACCCATCGTCCTCAGAGCGTTCTCTACGCCTCTGAAATCAGATTTGTCGTTTATCGAATCAACCTTTGTAGTTTTGCAATGTGTAAAATGTTTATAGTTGTTTCTTCATTTTTATATATTCGTTCCTTTTTTCATTCATTCGATCAGTCGTTCGTTTTTTTTGTTAAAATGAAGATAAATATTCTAGTGAATGAATGTTTCTATATTATAAAGATCATTCATTCATTCATTTGTTCGTTCATTCATTTGTTCGTTCATTCATTCATTCATTCATTCATTCATTCATTCATTCATTTATTCATTCATTCATTCATTCAACAAATTCATAATTCTTTTACATTATCCCATCCATTCATTTCTCCATCCATCTATCCATTCATTCCTCTATATCATCCATCAACAGGCAAACCTTTGCAAACTGTCCACTCTGGTCAAGGTAGGAGTATGTGTAGGGGTCTCTAACGAGTCCGAACTCTTTCAACCTTGCATCGGAACCACCACACAATAACTGAATATTATTATTACTACTATTATTAATATTATTATTACTATTATTATTAATATTATTAATATTATTGTTATTATTACTACTATTATGTAGACTACATTACCGATTTTTAATCTTTTATTTTACTTTATTTTATCATATTTTCATTTCATTGTATGTTTGTTTTATTTTTGGAAAAATAAAAGAGTTCCCATTATTATAATTATTGTTATTATTGTTATTATTATTATTGTTATTATTATAGTTATTATTATTATTATGAGGATGAGATGATGATGATGAAAGAGAATAGTGACCTGATAAAATACGTGAAAATTTCGTTCGCCATACTGCTGATGAACCACTCTGGACTGCCACGTGTGTTTCGTAAAAAAAAAATATTAGTCATCGTCATCATCATCTTCATCATCATTGTCATCTTTAGTCTTATCATCATCTTCGTCATCATCGTCGTCATCGTCATCGTCATCTTCAGTCTTATCATCTTCATCATCTTCCCCATCGTCGTCATCATTGTAATCTTGGGATTGTTATATTTACGGTCATATTTTAACCATCTTATCCATAAAATTATTTCGCAAACGATTAAAACTTCAATCTACTGAAACACATCCCTAGATTGGGCCTCGGTCACATCCCTGAATTATAATTTTAGCACATCCCTACTTTTTCCAGGAGATAGTTGTTGAGGTGGCCGCCAACAGGGTCGCCATTGAAGTTGAAGTTGATGTCCATGTATTTGCCGAACCGACTACTGTTGTCGTTTCGGTTCGTTTTCGAGTTGCCGAACGCCTCCAAGATGCAGTTGGATTGCAGAAGGATGTTCTTGACTCTGCGTGAGTGTGTGTCATGTGTGTGTGTATGTGCGTGTGTGCGTGCGTGCGTGTGTGTAGTAGTGACGTAATAGATGACGTTTCTAACGAAGCAAGGCAATGAAGGATGACGACGCTAATCTGTGGCCAACACACACAACAAAAAACCGTCAACATTTGCAATTGTTTTTGTTGCAACAACAGCAACAACAACATCAACATCAGCTACAGCAACAGAACATGAAATATATATACTGGCATCAACAACAACAACAACAGCATCTTAAAAATAAGAACATCTCCTAATGAGACCTGCCTGGAAAAGAAATGACAATAAAATCATCATCAACAACCTCACTCACAACCACCAAAAACATCATTATCATCTACATCATCATCATCATCATCATCTTCATCTACATCATCATCATCATCAACAATATCATCATCATCATTGTGATCGTCAACCTCTCCACTTCCTGTTGTTCCCCAGTTACGCAGGCGATGTACCTCATTATAATTTTTGAGGCCTCCGTCTTTCCAGCCCCACTCTCACCTTCATAATAAAAATAATAATAACTATTATTATTATTATTATTATTATCATCATCATCGTCGTCGTCGTCGTAGCAGTAATTAGCAATAGTTGTAGATGGATAAATAATGTTAATTAAGGGTAGATAGTAACTAATTTGTGTGTAGGTTGTTATATGCGTGTGTGTGTGTGCGTGTGTGTGTGTGAGTGTGTGTGTGTGCGTGTGTGTGTGTGTGTGTGTGTGTGTGTGTCTGTCGACATACTTTTATACAAATTAGTCCCTAATATATTTGCGTGTGTTTCATATGCAAGAGAACTAATTACCAATCTTTGATGTGCCAGCCACTCAATTATGCTAATTAGCTATCTCATTATTATTCATGAAGTAGCTAATTAGCATTCACCGTATTATATTTCATTACGGATGCTAGCACAAATATTATATACAGCGTTCAATTGTATGTGGGCCAGTGTCAATTTATGCAAACCAAGCGCATACACCTACAGACTGACATACGCACACATAAATATGCAAGGACATGAAATGAACTTAACATTAACATCTTTAGCAGCTAACTTAACACAACTAATTAACATAATCTATTCAAAAAAGATTGCTCCATCTATGAGAAGGCCAGTAAAGAATGTTACCTGAAATAACAATACAGGTGTCGCGGGCTCGCCTCTTCATTGCCTTGTAGGAGGAGTCTGCTAACGCGAAGATGTGCGGTGGCAGTTCGTACATCTCTCTACCTGTGGCCAATCAATCGCTCACTTATTCATTCATTTGTTCATTCATTCATGTGTTCGTTCATTCGTTCGTTTGTTTAATCGTTCGCACGTTCATTCACTCGTCAAATTATGTCCAATTATTCATTTGTTCGTTGATTTCATTCATTCATTCGTTCATTCATCCATTTATTCATTCACCAATTCATCCATCTACCCACCCGTTCATTTATTCATCCAGTAAATCATCCATCCATCCATCCGACCGACCTCTGTACTTATCGACATACTCCTTCTCATAGATGGTAATGTTTCGGTACGGGTTGACTGACACAACGACCTCTCCTATGTACGTGTAAATCTTACCTTTGCTGTATCTGTGCGAGCGCGCGTGTGTGTGTGTATTTATGTGTGCGTGCGTGCGTATGTGTGCGTGTGTGAGAGAGAGAGGAATGAGAGTGAGAGAAAAACAGCAAGAGAGAGAGAGAGAGAAAGATTATTAATGGAAATCTGTCAAGTTGTAAAAATGGTATAATTATAGCTAAAGAGTCAAAGGAAGAAGAACCAAAGACAAGAGAGGAAGAAGAAAGGAAGAAGAATTGAAGAAAAAAAGAGAGAACAAGAGAGAAAAGGAGAAAAAGAGAGAGAAAGATAGGGAAAAAAGAAGCCTACCTAAGTCTCAAATTGTTCATGAAGGACTGCATATCAATGTTGTCCATCATAATGAAGTCACTGACTCCACAGTCGTCAACCTCCAACATCTGTGTCATCTGAAAAGGGGAAATTAATTAAATAAATTACCAATTAACCAATTAATTACTTTATTGATTAATTAGTGATAAACTGATTCAGTTTATTTGTCCAGTTTTGTGTTCATTCAATTGTTTCTCCATTCACCACTCATTCGTCAGTTCATTCATTCGTTCGTTCGATGGTTCGTTCTCTTTTCTTTATTGTTTGTTCAGTTGTTCGTTTGTTAGTTTGCTAACACACACACACACTAACACACACACACACACCAACACACACACACACAATCGACACACATTAAAATCAGTTTACAGTGTTTAAAATACGACTTTAACAACGACAGATTATATGGAAAAAATTATACAATATAAAAAATAAAGAACTCACTGTGAATTCTCTGTTCGTTATATTTGATTCTTAGATTTTTATTATTTATGTTATTCTTCTTCTTATTATTATTATTATTATTATTACAAAAAGTATTATTACTAAAATTATTAATAATATTTAAATAATTAGTGTTAGCAGTATTGTGGAGTTAATAGTAAATGAATATAGTATAAGCAATTGTTACACATTAACTTCATCAGCGATATACAACTTGTACATTATTTATATATTATAATATTTATAGATTTATTATTATATTATATAATTATTAATTAACATTAATTTAACAGTATTTTTAATAGTATTTTCAGTCTTAAGAGTATTTTTGCTGGTAAAACTAGGAAGTGATTAACGTGTAAAATTATATTTTTCGTGTGTGCACTATATATACACGAGAGCTACACACTTATATGTATGTGTAGTTAAGTGTAATGTTAAATGGATAAAATCGAATGTTTTGGGGATAATTTAATGTATGTATGTATGTTTGTTTGTATGTATGTTTGTTTGTTTGTATGTATGAATGTTTGTTTGTTTGTTTATATGTTTGTATGTTTATTTGTTTGTTTGTATGAATGTATGTGTGTGTGTGTGTATGGTGTTTGTGTGTGTGTGGTGTGTGTGTGTATGTATGTATGTATGTATGTATATGTATGTATGTGTGCATGTGTGCACGCATATATGTGTGAGATGTGTTTTTTATCACGTTGATAATTTGATTTATTTATTTATCATCAACACGGCTTAATGAATAATTGAAAGAATGTCGAATGAATGAATAAAGGAATGAATGAAGGAATGAATGAATGGGTGGATAAATGAATGAATGAATACTAAGATGGACAATTGAATGAATAGATGGATTGAAGAAATAAATAGATGGATTGATTAATGAATACATTTACACACACACCACACACACCACACACACACACACAAACACACATATACACATAAATTGTGTGTGTATGAATGTAGCATACCTTATCATTTTCGTTAGCTATTTATGTACGCACATATACACATAAGCTACGTACGTATGGTAGCAATTAATTAGAATATGCATGTATATACATTATACATTTACACACAAACACACACACACACATGATGAAGTTATGGAATAAACTACCTACAACCCCTAGGTCTATCAGTTCCAAAACCCCTTTTTAAATACAACATTCTTAAGTTATTTAGAACGACTTTTTTCGACTCTCCATCAGTTTTCAATTTTTTTGTCTAAATGCGTTTTCCATTTCTACATTTTTATCACTTTAGCCAATTTTTCAGCTGAAAGTGTATTTGCATGTGTATTGTTATTTTTATTTTAAATCCAACTACATATTTTTATTTTTGTATGTCCTTTCTTTCTACATCCATTTGTATTTATATCCATACTACACTGATGATGGCAGTTGATGCCGAAGAGAGCTTTTCTTCAGTAAAAACGTTATTAATAATGTTTTGTCAAAAATGTCAAACATTCAAGTTTTTTAACTGGTTTGTAATGAGTCCTGGCCTTCCAGTTCTTTTAAATAAATAAATAAATAAAATCTTTGTGTGTGCGTGTGCGTGTGTGTACTGTCTGTGAGAAAGAGAGAGAGACAGAGAGAGAGAGAGAGAGAGAGAGAGAGAGAGAGAAAGAGAGAAAAAGAGGAATGATGATGATGAGTAAGGTTTTAATAAGTTGCTAATGACATCCGGTTTAGTTTCGAAACTACAGTACATGCAAGTTCTTATGTAGCTGTTTGTTGGATGATTTTTCGTTTGAAATAATGGTTGTGTGACGACGATTGTAACGAGGATGGGGGATTGTGACGATGATTATGATGACGATGATGATGACGACGATGATGGTGACGATGATGATGGTGACGACGACGATGATAATTGTAGCAAAGGTTATAACAGTGAATATGATAAAAATGCAATTACAATGATAATAAAAATAATGGCGATGATGACGATGATGACGACGATGACGTCACAGTCAAGCGGCCACACGCAAATTCATCTTTATAAAATGTTTATTCCTGAACGGGCGTGTGGGCGCATACAAATTGGATGAATGAATGTATGAATGAAGGAACGAATGAATGTATGAAAAAACGAATGTATGAATGAACAAATTAATGAATATATGAAAGAACGAATAAACGAATGAATGAATGAGTAAATATATACTTATGTGTGTGTTTGTATATGTCTGTGAGCGTGTGTGTATTTGTGCGATTGTCGGTTCGCAAATATTTTAATTATCCCTGCATTGCCTCGTTATCTCCAACATAGGAGCCGCTATTTTAATTGAGTTAGTCTCAGTATGCGTGTGTGTCTGTGTGTGTGTGTGTGTTTGTTTGGTTGTATTTGCGTGTGTGCGTGTGTATCCGTAATAATAATAATAATAAAATAATAATAATATATTTTTATTCTTATTTTTTTTCTGCTCAAAGCTGATTGCCCATGCTAAAACACATCTCATTAATAAAAGGATTAAAATTTGATCTTTCCAGATAAAGAAGATTGCAAGCCACACACTTAGTGAGAGAGAGAGAGAGAGAGAGAGAGAGAGAGGGAGAGAGAGAGGGAGAAATAAAAGAAAGAGAGAGAAAAAGAGAAAAAGTGAAAAAGAACAAGAACAAGAGAGAGAGGGAGAGAGAGAGAGAGAGAGAGGAAGAGAGAGGAAGATGGAAGAAAATAATACTGGCCCTATCATTGTTCATTATTTTGTCGACTGTTGATGACAATTTATTTTTCTATTGTGAGGCATGCGATGGAAAGATAGGAGGAAGAGAAAAAAAATGAAAAAAGAAGAAGAGATAAATAAAGAAAGAGGAGAAAGAAAGAGAAAAGCAAAAAAAGAGAGAATGAATGAAAGAAATATGGACGAAAGAGATTAAGAGTTTGAAAGAGAAGTAGAAAAAATAAATATTGGCCGAGTGGTTAGGGTCGCCTGGTCCTGTCACAGAGTTACCGGGAACGAATACAACAAAAAGATCTCGTTCTTCGTTCTTGATGTTTTTGAGCTTCTGTATTGACCTTTAACCTTTTTTTATAATTATTATAATTATTGTTGTTTTTGTTGTTGTTGATATTTTTTGTGCGGTTTTTGGGTCAAATTGAAAAAATTTTTTGTGTAAATACGTCAACTCTATGGCATTTATTATCGTTATAATAATATTAAAAATATAATTGTTGTGATGATTGTTATTATTGTTGTTATAATGATAACAATAATTATAATTATTATTATAACTATTTAAATTATAATTAAAATAAAATATCGCTTCACTGTAAAAAAAATTGAACTCAACTCACAAATACATATTGAACAGTGACAACTATATTAAATAAAAATAGTAGCAGCAGTAGCAGTAGTAGTTGTAGTAGCAGCGACAGTAGTAGTAGTAGTCGTAACAGTAGTAGTACAAAATCGCCGCGAAAAAATACCGGCTTTTATAAAACATAGATGAAATACCAAGGAATAAATATTGACATGAATTTGACGTCATAAAGTTCTGTCGTAACCTAGTGGAAATACAAACATACATGTTTGTATGCATGTTTTGTATGTGTGTGTGTGTGTGTGTGTGTGTGTGTGTGAATTTACTACCAGTAAAAGTTACATTCAGTATAGCTGTTGCTTTTTACGATAGTATTAGTGGCGCTAGTAGTATTTCCTTTATAGCGCTCCTTTGAAAAATTAGTTTCAGCAAGTTGACCCCTGGCCGACCTTTTTTGACCTTCATAGGACCTCAGGTCAAGGTCACTGGCTGTTATGTTCAGTGGCTGTACGCGTTTAGAGTAACGAGTGTTGTTTGTTTTGATGTTTTTGTTGTTGTTACTGTTGTTGTTTGCGTCGTGAAGCAAGAGTTGTGATCTCGAATCGCAGAATAAATGTTCGGCGTTGAGGCTGTCAATGTCACGGCTGTTCTTCTTGCTGCTGTTGCTGTTGTCAGTTTTGTGGCTGCATTTTACATTTTTAGCTTTATTATTATTATTATTATTATTATTGTTATTGTTGTTGTTGTTGTTGTTTCCATTGTATTCATACGCGCGCAAATTTCTATCCTTCGTTGACAAATTACTCCCGCTTTTTTCCGCCACAACAAACTCATCATCATCATCATCATCGGCAACGATGACGACAACATCGTCAACATCATCCTCCTCTTCTTCTTCATCATCATCGTCATCGTTATCATCATCGGCGTCGTTGTCTTTTTGTAGCGTTGACGTCAGCTGCTTGCGGGCGTTGATGTCGCGGCGACAGGCGATGATGATGAGGACGAGTCCGGTGGCTAGGAGAATTAGGAGAAGAATGGATGCCACTAAAAACCATGTCGTTGTCGTTTTGGATGTTGATGTTTTGTTGTTGTTGATGTGTTGGTTGTTGTTGTGGTTGCTGTGATGGTGGTGTTTTGCGTTATGAAGAGGAATGTTAATATTGTTTTTGTTGTTGTGATTGTTGTTGTTTATATCGTTGTTGTCATAAGTGAAATTTGTTTTGTAATTATTGTTGTTGTTGTAATTGCCGTTGTCTTCGTAGATGACATTAAAGCTATCAAAGTTGTTGCTTTGGTTGATGTTGTTAATGTTGTTGTTGTGGTTTTTGTTGCTGTTGTTGTTGCTGTACGGTTGAACAATGATATGCCTCAATGTGTAACCCTTGATGAAATTTGTTTGCGGCGATTCAACGAATGATTTTGTTGTTGCAGTTTCGAGTAAATTGTTGCTATCTCTTGATGTTGTTGTTGATGTTGTTGCTGAAGTAATTTGTGTTGAATGGAAAATAATATACGGCCCATTGTGACGTTTTGGGGGGATCCTCAG